TGCTTCTCTGAATATTTCAATCAGTGTTTCGTGATCTGTTTCTGCAGTGAATCTCTAACCACACAGTAAGTTATGGAGTCTTGTACATCCATAAACTAAGCCAAGGATCTCCTTTTCAAGCTGCGCATGTATTTTTTCTGTAGCTGTCATAGCCCCAGATGCACATGAGACTGGCAAACAGTTTCACGATGCTATAATATTACTGCTTCCAACACATCTTTTGAAGCATCTGTGTCTGATGTCTTTTAATGGGTCAAAGAATTGTAGCACTGGGGCTAATGTCAATATGCATTTTAGATCATTAAATTCACTTTCATGCTCTAAAATCCAGACCCATTCCATGCCTTTATGGAAAAGTTGCTTTAAGCGAGTTGTGCAAGTTATACAGTTAGGGATAAAGTTGCTGACATAATGCAATAGTCTTAGCAATCTTTGATTTCCTTTTCTATCTTCAGGTTTTGGCATGTTCAGTATCACCAGAACCTTTGAGTCATCAGGTAAGATTCCTCTTGAAGCCAGTGGTCACCTAAATGCAGTATTTGTGTTATCTGAAACTGATGTCTATCTTTACTCGAATTAAGGTTGGTAGCTCTTGCAATATCTAATACTTTTCTCAGTCCCCCTTTATGTTCAGTAGCACAGCTGTCTCAGATTATTGTGACCAACCTAGACCTTCACACCTGCTAGATCTTCTAGCATCCGACTCATTTTTGCAATGAAATACTTCTGGAGCTGAGCATACTTCAAAAGGGCTATGAAGAGTAGGAAGCAGTACCTTCCAAGTGGACTGCTGAGAGTTGCAGCTCTTGGAACTACCAAGGATCAAAGGAATCTGCCAGAATCCTACCAAAGCATCCAATTTACTGAAGAACTTGCTTTTTGTCATCTCTAAAAATAGCTTACTTCTTCTGGGTAAGTCAAAGCATTCTTTTTTTTTTTTTTTTTCAAATTCTTTGGGTTTAAAACATAGCCACAGTCCCCCTACTTTCTTTTCTACAGTTACTAGGGAATTGACTACGTCCATTGTTTCTTCTATTCTCCTAATGGTACCATTTGCTGCCATATTTTTTGTAGCTCTTTTAGTCTTTTGCTTAAGGCACATGAGACTTTTCTTGTGGCATGTATCACTGGTTCTGCATCTTCTCTTACCATATTTTGTATGTCATTGGGATGCACACATTCCCTGTGAATACATGGTCATACAATGCAATTAGTGCCTTGAAGTTCGGTTCAGTAGCACCTTTCAGCCTCTCTATGATATACATACATCCTCTTCTCTTAATAAGACCAAGTATTTCACATGCGTACAAACGCAAAACTAGTTGCTTTCCTCTGTGTACCACCATGAACTCCTGTTCTATTGTTTTACCTTTGTATCTAAGAGTCAAAGTACACTCTCTTAGCACTGGAATGGTCCCTCCATTACAATCTTTCACAGATACCTTAAACCAGGGGTGTCAAACATACAGCACATGGGCCAGATTCAACACAGTATGCCAGGCTAGCATGAGGTGCATGAGCTGGACCCAGGGATCTACGAGTCACACAGGGTCCAGGCTGCACCAGGGGCGATGTCAGTCTCAGTCTAAATGTACAGACAACCCAGCGACTCATCCAGCTGATTCCCCTGCCTTAGACTCTCTCACTTCCATGAGCCCTTTACACCTCTCTATTTCAATTACTGCTTTGTTTGCTTGTGCCCCAATCTTTCTTGTAGTTAAATAAGGGCCATTCAGCAGCGTTTTAGTTAGCCAATCTTTTGAGCTTTTGGGCTCTTCTTCAATTGTGCTTCAAAACAGCTCTTCCTTCTCACTTCAATCTCCTTCTGAAGTAACTGCATACAGGTTCCCACTTGCTTTGCATATTTAAGCCTAATGGTTCAGTTTACTACATCTCATACATTTCTGCCTGAATGCTGGGCACTTTCTTGTTATTAGCTTTCCATGTGACCATGCTGTCTCAAGTTAAGTGTGTGGGGGGTAGTGTCTCTCAGTAATCTTAGACTTTTTTATTGTAATATCCCAGGACTATCTGTGAGTGTTCCATATTCACAGGACTGAGTTTTTAGTTTCAGGTCTGTGACAAACTCTTCCATTGTTTCCCTTTCCTTTTGTGCCCTCATCTGAAAGCTCTCTCTTACAAGTAATATTTTTTCTAGAAACACAATGATTTTCAAACATTTTCATTATTTCTTCAAGCCTTTCTTATTTCCCCTCTTCCCCTTCTGTATGGTTGACATTATACACATCCAGCACTTCACTGCCTGCAACTTAAGAGCAGAGAAATATTTTGTTCTTCTTCCAATTATCTGTTCCCCATGGCTTTCGTATACACCTCAAATAGCTGTTTGAACCGTTTCCAGGCATTTTTAGCATTCCCCTGGATTTTCAAGTGCTGAGGTACGGTAACTTGCAGTCTCACAAGCTCTGTAGCAGTCATTTCTGTGTTACCTCTTTCACTGGGTCCTCCAGCATGGTGTGCATCCCACTTCTGGTACCATGTGGTATTTTGATGAGGTTCATGGTATGCAAACAACTCATCATTATGTACAGAAATGTATATATAATTATTTACAGTAAAGAGATAACTGCTTTTACTACTGCCCTTGCAAGCATCTTGTAGCTGACCTGTTTCTGTTCTGCCACCCAAAAGTTCCTGCTGGCTTCACTGAGACTACATTCCTGTAATGCCGCACTTCCTGGACACGCGTCCAGACAGACTTACTTTGCCACAGGAACAACTGGGAACTCTTGTGCAGAATGACAAGATCTTAATAATGTAGTGAAGTGGCACAATAACTTAACACCCGCTACAGTAGATCAAGAACTCTACATTCCTGCAATGCTCCGGATTCTTCAGTACAAACAGTGACCAAACCCTAAACAATATCATTAGAAGAGTAGAGGTGCACCAATACATCAGTCCCACATCAGATCGGAACCTATATAAGGAAAACTGATAGAACTGGCAAATCAGCTCTTTTTAGTTGATGTGGCTAATAACTGCCCTGTGCATGTGTGCAGCCACAACACAGCACACACGTGGCTAGGAGCACAGCCCGGCAGCATGGAGAGCAGCCAGGTACAGTGGTAAGTCTGTTGTAGTGGAAGAGGGAGGGGGAGAGGGGACAGACTGAGGCCCCTGCAGTGAAGGAGAGAGTGGGAGTGGGACTGGGGCAGGCACTGCCCAGCCAGGGCATGGCAGGACACAGGACAGAGCCACAAGCAGCATATTCCAGGGGGAAGGAACGGCTCCCCCCACCACACGCACCCCCGGATCTGCGCGGGGGGGGGGGGGGCTCCCGCCCCCCCCGCCACTGCACGCACCCCTGGATCTGCGCGTGGGGCGAGGGCAGGCTGCTGGTACAGGCTGGGGCTGTGCCGAACTCTTTTCAGCTGGTGGTTGGGCCGGGCTGCCCTTGGGGTGGGCAGTGGCGGTGCTCAGAAGGGGGACACCACGATGAATTTTAGGGTGGCTGCAGCCCCCCTCCCCACCCTGTAGCCCTACTCCCAGCGCTGCTGCCACCCACCCCGAGTGCAGCCCCAGCCTAGCCCACAGCATCCACCCCAGCCCAGCTGGGCAGCATCCACCCATGCCCCAGCTCCACTCCCTCACTGCAGGGGCCCAGATCTACCATCCACAAGCCCCTTCCCGCCCCCAACCCCTTCTACTACAACAGACTTACCAACCGGACACTGCTCTCCACACTGCTGGGCTGCATATCGGCAATCAGATCGGTATCGGCCAATACGGCTCGTTAAAAATTGGCCATCGGTATCATCCCCCCAAAAATTTCTATCGGTGCACCCCTATTAAATGAATTTATATTTTCACAGCCTAGGGCCATCAGTGGATACGCTCGCATATATTTACATAATGCAAAATTAGCAAGTCTGCCTCAGGAAGTGATATGATGAAGACAATTCTGACTGCATGAACCAAGGTGCTCTTCAGCTTTATAGTCAGCAAAAAGGGGAGAAAACAAAATTACCCGAAATGTGGACTTTGAAAGACAGAAAAGTTTTAACAGCATTAGAAAGGAAAAGAACTGCAGAATGTTAAGTAAGCTTTACTATTTTCTTCATGCCTTTTTTAATTAACTAAAATACCCAGCTTTCACTCATTCCCCACAGACTGACCAGCAAGGAGCCACTGGAATATGCCACATGGACCTGGGCCAAAAACCCTATGAAATTTTCTCTTTGCAGTGAGCATCTCACTTATCAGAAGCAGAGAAAACTTGCTTTAAAGGACTGAAGTGAAAGAAAAAGAGCAGAAGTCAAGCCAAGACTGCAAGTTTGTTTTCTGATATGCTGGCATTTGACATGATATGTTTTCCTTGAGGGGAAAGTTATTAGGCATGTTTTACAGAATTTTGAAACTGCCTATTAGAAAACTAAACGTTCCTAGAGGCAATAACACATTTAACGCACATAAAAGAATTCTCAGGGAAATGGCTGGAGAATTGCAAAGAAGTTGCCAGCAATTATTCAGCATTAGCCCTTCCACCTGAGAATTTTTCAAAAAAAATTCTCTATGTTGGCATTATTAGGCCTAATTCCCCACTTTCCCCATCAAGTAAAACCTTGTCTACACAAAAGCTTGCATTTCTTGACTAAATGTATCCTTAAAAATCCCAATTTCAAGCTTCATGTGGACTGATATACAAATATACAAAGGCTTTTAAATCGCTTAGCTTTCATTGGTACCTTCATGGATACAAGACAACATGAGGTTGGTGAAAGTTCAGAGTTTAAAATCTGTTTTAAAAGAATTTTCAGTTCAGCCAGGGAAACTTCTGTATGTGGACCAGGCTGATGAGACGCACACCTATGAATTTTAGAAGAAAAAAATGGAGGGAGGAGGTGGAAGGACTACTTTCTTGTGGCGCATTTGAGTGGGCTCCCACAGCCAGACAAAGGCTGTTGCACTTTCAATGCTATTGCACTGGTGCAAGGAATAAATGCACTCTGTCTATAGCAGCCAAGCAACATGGGTACCTGGGACTTGACGCGTCTGGTTCTCTTCAGCGCAACATTCATTCTTGTACCCTGCTTTGGGGAAGCCTGGGCATCAGAGCTGAGGTCCTCAGCTTCCACTTTTTCCTTAAGGTCCAAGTTTGGCTTTTGGATACCCTAAGGGATCAGAGCACAGAAGGATACCAGGCTAGTTGATCAGGGAATCAAACTCTCTGATCGGCTAATCATCCTGTTTGCTGAGGAATGGGACTATCAGCGAAGTCATAGTGTACAGCACATGCTATTTGTGCAAATTAATCCATGCAGTGAGAAATAAAGGAAACAAATCTCCACAGCCACCTAGCCAAGAGAAATAAAGACATCCTCCTAAGCAAGTGCATCATTCTTTCCCTTTTTTCCCCTCCCAGCAAGACTGATCTCACACCTATAAAGAGATAGCTATAAATAGTAAGTACACTCAGTCACAATGCATCTTCCAATTCCATTATGCCACACACGAATAAGTGCTGTTTTTCTTAAAGAAACTGCTGTTTTCAGAACCTTAAACTGTTACAATACAATAATGGCAACATTCCCTGTGCAACCTGGGTACCATCTTTCTATTCTGAAAGGGAAGCATCTCACCATAAGGCTGACCCCAGATTGGAAGAGCTCGTAAGGGTACAAGATCCGTTCATAGTGAGACTTTAGTAGTGATCCAGTGCCTTTTCCTGGCAGGTACCCCAGCCGACTAGCCACTTTGGACCACTTCTTTTCTTTAGTGACCACATCAAAGCCTCCTTTGCTGGCAACAATCTGAAATAAAGTTAATTAAAAAAAAAGAAAAAAAAAAAAGAAAGTTACTTAAGACTTTTAATGTTCTCTTGCCACTGCATATGAACCAGGAGCTGAGTCAACAGATGAAACATCTGACAGTTCTGTGTACCTCAGAGTCCTGTCATTATGGCATTTTTCTTCTTGCAGAGTCAGAACTTTAACAAACAAGCTTTCATCTGTTTCAGACACTTAATACATTTATTAGAGCCCCAGTGCCAAGACACGAACATAAGGTATATATTGTCCCAGGCAGGAAGAGTTCAACAAGCACTACCTCTGATGTGCTGGAAATTGTACAAACCCACTAACAGAATAAACTAAGAGTCAGCTCTCCTCAAACCTGTAGCATGATGGAAAAAAACAAGTCTGGTCAGGAACAGAGCCAATTCTAACAGACCCCAGGTAGACTGAAGTATTGGAAGTTCTGGACTCCACAGAGCACAGAAATTCTGCGAGAAGCCAAAAATGGGGGAAAAAGAAAAGACTACAGTTGAAAGGAAATAATGGCTGTTACTGCAGCACAACTGATATAACGAGAAAAGAAACTACTGCATTTTGGCTTTAGTCTTTCACTTTACATTGTAAACTGTCATTGACTACATATAACTAGTTTTTATTTAACTTGAAAAATAACAGACCATTTGTCACCAAGTGAAAGTCAAAGTGGCACTGGAGATGCTTCCTCAGAAACACCGACCAAATTTCTTCTCCCACTCTCCTTTTAAAAAAAATCATTCCCAAGCAGCTTAAAACCCTATACAGGATCATCCATGGCTTTGTTTAATTTGTTTTTAAAAATTCAAAGTACTTTTACACAATTAGCTGCATGATAGTTCCTTTTTCCTCCTCACAAAAGCCAAGAATTGTAGACCTAACATTCCGAGGACTACCAAAAACACAAACACAAGAAGTAGCATGTCACTGCAATGGAACCAGAAGCATAACTGACTAGTTTAAAGTGCAGAGAGACATACGCTTTCTCCAAAAACCAGATGTTGAAAACTGGAATGCACATAATATGCAAAGGAAAAAGAACAAAAATAAAAGCAGAATCTGTCACAAAATGAAAACAAAACAAAAACCTACAGCAATCCACAGGGAACAAAACAATGAGCAGGCTCATTTCCCAATTTGCTGCAAACTTGGTTACTTACTACATGGAAAGATTTTTTTTTTTTTTTTTTTTTTTTAATATTCCGGAGCATAAGATATGCAATAAAATATAGTAACTGCTTAAGCAAAAAGTTCAAGTTCATGGCTTTGTACTGCCAAGATGTTAACAAAGGTTAAATTACATTTTAATTACAATGCATTTTCCTCTATTTGCTCGCTTATTGTTTTTAATATGACTACAACAAGCTATTTTCCAACTTAGTTACAGAAATCAATATATAGCAAAAGTTACATCTTTGCTTAAGTTCACAGCATACCCATGAGAAGAGAACGCCTAGCACATAACTACATGCTTAAACTTGAAAAACCTTAGCAATCTAAAAGCATCTCAGCCATGTTTTTAAGTAGTCAAACATCTTAAATATTACCTCATGCAGAACTAAGCTCCCCCTCCAATTTCATGCTCATGGCTTAAACATTTCTAGTAGCAGTAAACAGAAAACCAGTCCATAACAAACTATGGCTGACTAGAAAGTAAATTTCAAAAGTCTTTCGAAGTCAACTAAGCTAAGCCAGCAACAACAATATATGCTACAAAGTACCCATAAGGCCGGTCAGGAAAAAGTCTTTCAAAGCATAACCTTTAAAACCTATTCTTAAACCTTCATCATATCTGAAATAAGTAAAAGTTGGTAAGCAACTAAAAACTGGCCCTTTGTTCTAACAGTGTCAGCAGCACACCTCTCTATCCCTTGAATATACTAGAAAATTGTTTGCCTCTAAGCCTACCTGTAAACCTTCCTCGTGTGGACACTTAATACCAGTGAAAGCATTCATTTTGCCAAAACACTGCACCCACAGTAAGGTTTAGACCAGTATTAAAAAAAAATCAAAGTAAGTCTCTAGCACAAATTTGGCCTTAGAACTTGTAGAAACTTGAAAATTTACCAAAAATGCCATTCCAGAACAGGTAAATCATCCGTGGTATAAGGCCCAGACTAAGATTGTCCCCATAGAGCTTTATACCAAACAAGGTGTTCAGGAATTGCCAATTCAGAAAATATCAACTGTAAATAAGCTCTTAGTCTTGCAATACACTATGTCCTGCAGCTCTGCCTTACAAGATTGGGGGAGTCATAGAGAAATAAGTTGGCAGATAACATCAGTTTTGGAGAACTTTCCTGATGTATGATTGGCAATTTAATCTATCATAACTAACCACACTTGTAAATTTTCTGTTCTCTCTTCACAGTCACTGACTGAAAATATTTTGTCTTGCCTCCTTGTTTTTCATGAACATACTGCTTACTGTCTTTCCAGTAAGAAACCACCCTCTTATAACAGGTAGACGACCCATGCCTCATCAAAATCTGCAGCCCCGTTACTCACTTTGCTCAAACCGTACAGATCCAAGATTTTTCTCTCCACCACAGGAATTTTTAAATTGGATCCTTGAAGTTCCCAAAATTTTGCTAATTGATCCAAGAAGTCCAGCTTCACTCTGGTCACTGCCTATAATGGGGGGGGTGGGGCGCGGAAAGCAAAGAAGCATGTAAAACATGAAAGAAACCTAGACAGAAGTGAGACAAAGCTTTACACAATTTAGGATCTTATAACATAATTCATAATATGATAATTTACTGTTCCTCGGCTGTGTAAGACAGCAAGAAGCAGAAATGTGAACATGAAAATTTTGCCATAAATTTGGAAAAAAAAAAAAAAAAAGTTCTTTGCTTTCTATAGTTGAGATCTTAAAAAGACAAGTTCCTACCCAAAACAACCTCTCTTTTTTAAACTCCTAAATATACAAAATGCAAACTCCTAAAAATAAGCATTTTGGACAAGAACTGAAGAACATTTTTAATTAGGAGATAAATTGCAATATCAGCTGTTATAAATAAGAACGTCTCCTTAAGCATCTCTGAAGCCAATAGCAGTCTTTCTTGCACAAAAAATGCACATCTACAAGCCAAAATTCATATGCTGCTTTGATATTTGAAGAGTAAGGTTATATGAGCCACTGTGGAAAAAAAAAAAAAAGAGAGCTCTTTGGAAAAACATGGACATCACAGGACTTGCACTAATTTTAAAAAGGCTCTTGTGATTTATATTTAAACTCAAATTAACCTATTGTGACTACAGCCATAAAAAACAGCACTAGCTCATTTCAGGTTTTACAGGACATTATAATGGTAGTTAAGTATTAGGTAATTTGGGGCAAGATCTGCAGTACATTAAGAAAAATAAATTTATTCAATGCTTGTGGAGTTCTGAGGGCTAGACACTGATGGCTCTTACTACACAACTTGGTACTTGGCATTCATTTTCCATATTTCCAGTTGAGTGCAAAAAACTTGTGTGGTTATTCTGGGTACTAAAATAAAAACCAGATTTTTCTCAAAGCCTTGGAGAGTTATTTTATCCAAACACTGCCAGTGCCAATTATAAACACTGATGTGGTCAGTGGGTTTTGAATGCCTCCCATCCAGAAACCTGCCAAAATGCAAATCCTAAGCAAGGAAACCTATTGCTTTGTGGACGAATACAGACGTATGTCAACAGTGGAAAAGCTCACCTCCAGTTCATTCAAGCGCTGGATTCGTGGGGTGAAACGAAAACTCTGTACTTCACATGCAAATGGAGGCTGCCAGTCCTAAAGAGAGAGACAGACATATGTTATTGACATCTTAAAAGAAATCTTGACTTCTTCCACAAATGCAAAAAAACCTTCCCAAAATTTGAGAACTGCCAAAGAGTGAATCAGAGAAATAGCAAGCTGAAGGTTTTGAACACTTTGACCTGCAAGAGAAGTTTCTGTTTTTTAAAACCAGAACAACTTCATAAATAAGCTTCCCCCCATACTTACTTAAATAAAAGCTTGTCAACTGACCTGGCCATACAGCCTAGGAAAATGGAGATGTTGAATAAAGGGTGAACATTCAGATTTATACCACCTTGACTGTATTACAACGTAGGGCACACTGTCAAAGACAGACAAAGGCTAGGGCTACCACCTTGTAGGATTCTTAGAAAAGGTCCATATTTTCTAGATAAAGATATCCCAAAAAATCTTACCAATAGCTAACTTCAAATAAATTGCAGCATTTTAGATAAAACTGTAGACATGCATACAGATGCAAACTATGCTGGGCATATAAGGAATGCACTATAACAGGGATAAGGAGAGGGTCAGCTCTGCCCCTCAAGCTTGCTGTTAACTTCCAAGCAAGTCTAATTTAGTTTGAATACTTCTAAGCAATAGCTGAGGATAATACACAGCATACCTTCCTACAATAAAAAAAAAAGCACAAATATTTCAGGCAGAGAAGGAAAAATAAAAGTTATCTGAACTGCAGTAGCACTTAAAGGCCCCAACCAGGACTGTACAATATTTACTTTCTAACTGCCAAGAGAAGAATAAGGGATTGGTAAGACTAGTGTTGGGCACCTAATTCAGTCCTAATAGTAAATCTTAAAATGAGCCTGGCTGTCCACCCCTGCATGGCAACTCATGAGTAAACATGCAGGGGCCAAGCTATACATCCAGCTGCTTAGAGATCACTAACTGCTTTTACTGGACATCAGAGCACCAGGCAAGTGACAGTTTCTGCTTCACTTGGGAAGTGCAGCTCTGTGGAGGTGAGGTCAGGTTTGCCCCCCCCAGCCCATTCTGCAGATCGCAGCTGCTCACAGCGCAGAAGCAAAAATGGCTCCTCAGCTGCTGGGTCTTGGTTGCCTTCATGCCCCCTCCTCTCTGCTCCTCCCTCCCCTACGCCACCTAAACCTTGGATTTACTCTTATTTCCTACCCTGGGCTGAAGACCTGGGGGTGTCTGGGGAAGGGTCCCAAGGACCTTCCAACCACCTCTGCCCCGGTCCTTCTGCGGCAGTAGGTGGCTCCAATCCTCAACCCATCCACTGCTCCCATTTAAATGTTTGCTTTTTAAAAGAAGCGTATAAAGCCGAAGCACGGGGGGAAACATCTCCCCCCACCCAGCACCAAGGGTCCCAAAACCGACCGCCCAACGCCCCCCCACAGCTGCGGTTGGGGGGGAGGGGCACAGGCACCGGCCAACGGATCGCCCAACGGCCCCCGGCGGCGGTTGGAGGGCGGGGGATGGGCGCATGGCCCAAGCACTGCCCCGGGGGGAGGGGGAGCAACCGGCCCCGACCCCGACCCCGGGCCGCGCTGCCGCCGGTACCTTGGGGGGTCGGATCTTGCAGATGCCGGTCTTCTCCGCCAGG